CGTGCATATATTTATAGGTTTAGTATTAAGGCAGCAGATGGACATTGGACCTCCACTCAAGTACTTACTCAATGCAAGAACACTTTGTTCTATTAAATTGACATTCCATGATGTACACCTTCCCGACATGATCGCTGAAGACAAATGTGTGCATAAGCAAATGTGGTGAAGAAAGCTGATGGTGTCCGGCTATCAAAAGATATAGCATCTGGGGTCTTAAATGCTTGCAAGTAAACAAACAGCCACCTAGCTCAGAAGCATCAAAGCCCACATGGAAGAAACATACCAGCCTGTGTGACCACGAGGTGTCGACAAGATCCGGTATCAGGCATCAAAAAACAAAAAATGAAATCATTGTAAAGGAGGATGAGTACAGAGTAGAGACCCAATGCTCATCTGTAGGCAACTGACATCCCCTTACTGAAGGGTTGCGAGGAGGAGACAAGCCAGCCAGGGTGCAGGGTAGCAACGATGAAACACAGCTTTCCTCTAGTTCTTAAATGCTTACTCCCCCCACTATCATGATTCCAATTCTACCTTACAAATCTGGCTAGACCAGAGGTGTACATTGGTACAGATAGGAACTGGAAACACAGGGAATCCAGGGTGGATGATCCCTTCAGAACCAGTGGTGAGAGTGGCGATACTGGGAGGGTGGAGGGAAGGTGGGGTAGAAAGGGGGAACCAATTACATTGATCTACAAATAACCTCTTCCCTGCGGGATGGACAACAGAAAAGTGGGTGAAAGGAGACATCGGACAGTGTAAGATATGACAAAATAATAACAATTTATTAATTATGAAAGGTTCATTAGGGAGGGGGGAAATGAGGAGCTGATATTAAGGGCTCAAGTAGTAGCAAAGGTTTTGAGAATGATGAGGGCAACCAATGTACAAATGTGCTTGACACAATGGATGTATGTATGGATTGTCATAAAAATTGTATGAGGCCCCAATAAAATGATTTTTTTAAAAAAAGTATTAACTCTTACTTAAGCCCAAAAATCCAGATTCACTGCCACTGAGTAGATTCAGAGTCATGCATAATGACCCTATCTAAGGGTTTCTGAGGCTATAAATCCTTATAGAAGCAAACAGTTTCTTTCATCTTTTTCCTGCAGAACAGCTAGAGCATTGGAAAGTCATGTGATTTACAGGCCAACATTTACTAAACCGCACAAGGGCTCCCCTACTCCAAAGAACCCCAAACCAATCCCACTGCCAGCAAGTCGGTGATGACTCTTAGTGACCCTGTAGCTGTGCCACTATGAGGGCAGAGGAGAACTGCACTTTTGGTTTCTGACGCTGTAAATCACGAGCAGAAAGCACCATCTTTCCTCCTCTCTCGGGAGAAGCTAATGAGTCTGAACTGCTGACCTTGCAGTTTGCTGCAAATACATAAGTCACTATGCCACCGGGGCACTATCACATAAAACACTGCCACTGAGTTGATTCTGACTCACAGCGCCCCTATGCAAGGCTTCCAGTGCTGTGAAGGAGATAGCGTCCTGTCCCCCCTCAGGCAGTTGGTGGGTTTGAACATCAACCTCGCAGTTAGCAGTAATAAGGCTTACCTGATGTGCCACAAAGTAACTGTCTCCAAATTAAAAAAATAACTCTCCAAATTAAACAACTGAGTAGCTAACAATTAAGAGCAGTAGAGAGATGGATATTTCCTATATATCTTTCCTTTTCTCCCCCTCTGCAAGGTGACTAACTATAAATATATTTTTCTACATATTGTCTAATAAGAGAATTCATTGTGCTTCTGAGACTAGAAAGAGAACATCAGTAAGTCTGATTAAGGAAATGCCAGAAATTATAGTCTAATTTTAAGTTCTTCTACAAATTTCAAATGAAATGGTATTTATTTCCTTTTTCTCCCTATCAAGACAATGTATCATTCATAATTATAAGCTTTTACAAAGATCAAAGTGGGTGGGATTGGGGGGTTAAGAAGTAAGAAGAGTATGTTCAACTATTACCAGGTTATTGGGGTAGAATACAAGTAACTTAAATCGAAAGATAATCACACGATATAATTTTAGTCAAAAGAAGTAGAAATCAACAAACCATTAAAGTATTTGATCAGTTTTAGTTTTACTTCCCTTCTTATTTTATACCTAATATTACGGGAAATTAAAAGATCTAGACAGCAATAAACTCTTACTAAAGTTTACATTTTACAACAGTGGCACAATTAATGAGGAGGAAATGCTAGAAAAATAATGAATGCGAAATACTAATAAAAGAGAGAAAGTAGTCTTTCCTTGTATTAATTCCACGCCCAGTTAAAAAAGAATCAACTGGCACGGCATAAACGGAGGGCAGTGAAACGGATAACCACAGTTTTACATGTGGTCGCTGAAACAGAATAAAGAGCTGTTCCCGTTCAAAATCTGGTTTAACATCCAAATCTTAATAAGAAACCTCCAAATAAATTCCTAGCAAATAGCTGTAATTTCAAGTTAATTAGCAAATCTATTTTTCACTTTCTTAAAATAAATCCCTCTTGTCTTGCTTTTTGCGTCAAAATATACTTGATTTTAACATTACATGGCAAAATAGCCACTCAATAAATTTTAAATCTCTACAAAAAATAAATTTGGAATTATTCTATATTCCAAAATATCTCTATATAATAGATATTTTATATCTATTACAGGCAGTAAAAAAATGACATAGTGAACGGTAGCATCTATTTTGAGCAGACTGAAAATGATTTTACTTGAAAACAAAGTATCAAATAGGATTTGTAAGATTAAATTTGTTGCAGCTCAAAAGTACCCAGAAGGCACTGGACAAAAGTACCAAACAGAGTAAGTGCTCAAATCAATTTCTTTCATTCATTAGTACCCATAGATACACACAGATACCTGTTCAGGCATCCTCAGCACTAAAGACGACTGATATGTCTCAAAACCAGATAAACAACAAATGCAATTTTTATGGATTAGGCAATTCCTACACACAGAACATTAACCTAAGATACCATTTTCTTTTTGTTTAAACAGTTGATTGCTTTTTTAATTGTTGTAATAGGGTTCTAACGTCCATAGATGCCAAAAAATAGTTGGCTAAACCCCCAAAGTACTACCAACCTACTCCATTTTGGCCTAGTGCAAAAATACCAAAGAATTATTTTAAGAGTTTTGGCCAAAGGATTTTACAAGTATTATATTGCTAACTTGAATTATTACAACTATATATTACGCTATAGTTAAAAATAAAAATATTTCACTCTAAATGAGACTCAAATAGTTTTCTGAATTTAAATTCCTGAAACTTAAGAATTCAAATTTCATCATTTTTCCCTAAAGTTTTAAGGTATTTAATAATACACAGTACATTTGCTGCCCATATTACAATCAAGATGAGCTACAGGATCTCTGTCAATTTATACACGTACAAATATATACACTAACACACCTTGTTTCTGGCTATAATTAAAAATAAAAACCTAACTAAAAGATGACACATGCTGATACCTAAGGCCAGACGAAAGCAAAAGAAAATGTAATAAAAATAAGTGAAGGTTTTAAAAGTTTAATTTCTGTAAGCATGAGTAAAATATTAGGTTATCTTCATGGTATTTCTAATAAAATTTACAAAACTAAATTCTATTAAAAAGAACCTTACAAAAGCAAAGAAACCTCTTAAGAATATCTTGTATTCTGTATGGGTTTTTACTACCATCTTGTTATAATTTAAGAAATATTCTTACATAAAAAATAAAATTTGAACTAGATTAATTCTACCACTCAAACATTACTACATAATGATAGGGCAAACACAATACGCAAAGGTTGCTGTTTTTAAAAGAGCTTTTCTATATAAGTTACTCTCATAACCTAAAAAATGTGTATTACACTAACTTGTACACAATAACGTTCTACATAAAATACTTGCTAGGGCTTCCAACATGTACCTGAATTACTTCAAGAGAAGCTAGTTATAAACTAGATTCATCTTGCAATACTTAACTGATGAACTGAAAAAGCCAATTGATGACATGGCATAAGAAGATTATCAATGCTCTCCAAGCACCAGATCTAAGAAAGGATTTTTTTCTGCCCTGATTACTCAAGTTCTTGCTAGCATTGTAAGTTCCTTACAGAAGAGAGGGCTGACTTTGTGTTGTACTCCTCAGGGACATACGGTTTGTAATTAAACGTAACCTTTCAACTTACCAAGCACAAATGATCTAGTACAACCAACGTCAAACCATAAAAAGTATCTAAACCACTGCCATCAATTTGATTCCACGTCATAGCAAGCCTGTAAGGCAGAATCGACTGCCTCGAGGCTTCCAAGAGCGCCATCTTCCCAGAGGCGGACTGCCCCTTCTGCCTTCTGCAGAGTGCCTGCTGGGCTCAGATCGGCAGCTTTCAATTTCAGCCACGTGCCATCAGAGCTCTTATAAAAAGTTCCGGAAGGCTGACAATAAAAAGATGAAGCAAAGGATACATAGCCTCCTACTGGATTCATAGACTTCTCTTTGGTCATAATTTACTATGAGAGGTTATTTTCCAGTCTTATAACCTACAGGTAAATAGAATGATCCCAACAATTCTTAGTAAAGTAACAGTTTGAGAATCACTTTGATCTAAAGCTCCCCACCCCATCATACTATAGATGAAAATTTATGATAACAGCCATGCTGTTTTTCAAAAATAATGCAAATATTTTACTTATGATCCATACAAATGGATTAGAGTTCGTCCTTTTTGTATCTCCCTCATGTAAATAGCAGTAATAACCAACCACTTCAAATTAATGTACTGAACTGATGTTAAAGATATCCCATCAGCAGTTACTCACTTGAAATGACCGTTCCATGGTGATTGCAAAATAGCACTCTCTCCTGGGATATCGTCTCTCGCAGACCAGCACTTGATTGCACATTCTGCCCGTTTTCCCAGTTTGCTTGGTAAACAACTTTTTCCCAATCATTTGGGATGAAACAGCTTTTGCTTCTTCTGGACTAAAATAAGAAAGAAAAAAACCTCAAACACTTCTCTTCCAATTAGGGGAAAAAAGAAACAAAATCCAAGCCAATAAGCCTATATAATAGGCAAAAGTCTTCATTGATATTTAAATCTCAGTATTTTCAGCAACTCAGTAATAAAGAAAAGGCTATCTTGTATAAGAGATGATTTTCTTTAAAAACCATGACTCACGAGAAAACAATCTTCACTCCTCCTTTGAGGCCACTCTCAAATGTTCCTTTTCCTCTCCCACCAGCTAAAACCTGTGCCTTAATCACAACATCCTTTGAACCTGGAAGAGAAAGACGTCAGCTAAATATGAAACATGGAGCAGCATGCAAGACCGAGTATCGCTCATCTGCACACCTGTAAAGAGGCATTTTAAATGCAACAAAGTTTGATTTGCCCACAATGGCAACACCATGAACCCTACAGTACGCAGCTCATCTAGCAGAATGGAGCGCTCAACATTCAGAGATTCCCAACTTTAAAAAAAAACAGCTGCTCATATTAAACTGTTTTTCAATGTATGGTAAAAACAAGCTAACTTTTTTTGATGCCTTAAAAATGTCTATTACTTTAAGCGGTATTTAAAAATGCAAAACTGAGACTCAAATGTCTTCCTAACATTTCCACTCCCTAACCTTGAAATACCACCGAACAACAACATCTATACACAAACTTGCCACATGAATTTTAATCGCTGCTACTGGGAGCAGATATATGCAGTAATTTAATGGGGAAATATTGGCATTGTTGTCCGAAAAAAAGTCGTTAATATAAACTGTACTATTATGGTGGTGTGGGTGACCCCTGGTGGCACAGTTTGCAGGGCTGCAAACCACAAGGTCGGCAGTTTGAAACTATTAGCAGCTCTGTGGGGGCTTCCTACACCCATAAAGAGTTACATACTTGGAAACACACAGGGGCGTTCTACCTTGTCCTACAGGGGTGATGAGTCAGCATCGACATGATGGCAGTGAGTTTCGGTTTACTATGAGACATAAGGAGCCCTAGTGGTGCTCTCATCTAAGTGTTGGGCTTCTAACCAAAAGGTCAGTGGTTCTAACCCACCAAACAATCCACAGGATAAAGATGAGGCTGTCTGTCCCCTTAAAGACTTACAGCCTCAAAAACCCTGTATCAAACTCTACGAGTGAGAATCAACTCAATGGCAGTCAATTTATTAGTACTGTCGCTATTATTAAGATCTACAAGGGGGGCTTCCAAAATTTTGTGGAAAAACTCTTATTATCTTTTCATTCCCTTTTCCACAAACTTTTTGAAGCCTCCTGATATTTACCCAAAGATTTCAGAACATTATAAAGTCCTATGGATTACAGGATTAAAAAAAAAATAGTCTGAATTATTCAAGGTTCTTTTCCTACCTCTTGTAATTTATTACAGAAACCCAGAAATCGGGTGGGCATGGGAGAGGGGGCGGTGGGGGGAAAGGAAGCGGTGTTAACAAGCCCAGGGACAAGGGAAAAACAAGTGATCGAAATCGGTGGTGAGGAGGGCGTAGGAGGCCTGGCAGGGCTTGATCAAGGGCAATGTAACCAAGAGGAATTATGAAACCCAAATGAAGGCTGAGCATGATAGTGGGTCAAGAGGAAGGTAAAAGGAAATAGAGGAAAGAGCTAGGAGGCAAAGGGCATTTATAGAGGTCTAAATAAAGGCAGGTACACATGTAAATATATTTATATATGTGGATGGGGAAACAGATTTATGTGCATATATTTATAGGTTTAGTATTAAGGTAGCACATGGACATTGGACCTCCACTCAAGTACTCCCTCAATGCAAGAACACTTTGTTCTATTAAACTGGCATTCTATTATGCTCACCTTCCTGACACAACCGCTGAAGACAAAGTGGGTGCATAAGCAAATGTGGTTTAGAAAGCTGATGGTGCCCTGCTATCAAAAGATATAGCATCTGGGGTTTTAAAGACTTGAAGGTCAACATGCTGCCATCTAGCTCAGAAGCAATAAAGCCCACATGGAAGAAGCACACCAGCCTGTGCGATCACGAGGTGTCAACGGGATCAGGGATCAGCCATCAAAGAACAAAAAATCATATCATTGTGAATGAGGGGGAGTGCAGAGTGGGGACCCAAAGCCCATCTGTAGGCAACTGGACATCCCCTTACAGAGGGTCGC